TCCTGTCCACAGAGCCTCACGCCTTGAGCTTCCTGGGTCCAACGCAGCTCTCCTGGATAAGCGGTTATAGAGAAGATGGGTGGATGTTTGCCATCACGATTTATCCTAAGCAACCTATAAATAAGAGCAGTGCTGGAAGCATGTGAAATGGGGGGGTGGGACGTGAGCACAGGGAGGTTTCCTGCAGGGCGTGTGTGTGTGTGTGTGCAGGCGAGTGGGTATACCTATCCTTATGGGGACACAATGTCCCCATAACGTGATAAATATCCGTTTATACTCTATTTTATAAAAATCGGTGCCTGCTATGAAAAAACTAAAAATCTAAAAACTATTGTATTTTTGGATACTTATGGTTATGGTTAGGGCTGGGTAGGGATTAAGGCTGTCATAGTTAGTGTTAGTATTTTTCCCATAGAAAAGAATGAGCGGTCCCCATAAGGATGTTTACTCGACATGTGCGTGTGTGTCTGTGTGTGTGTGTGTGTGTGTAGGTTTGTGTCTTTGTGTGTGTGTGTGTCAAATACAGCATTGTAAGCACATCCTCTGTTTTGAGATCTTAGGGGCTGTGATCCTTTACCCGGCCATGAGAGGCTGAATGGGCCGTGATCCTCTATCTGCCTGTTTATGCTGCGATCCACCTTCAGAAAAGGCTCTCTGTCATATTCACCCCTTACTGTGATCTTCACTATTAATCAGGTGGATCCCTGGTGAGGAAGGTAGGGGTGTGCTGGGATGGGCAGGTGCAGAACTGGGTGTGGGGGGTGGGGGACTGTGACAGGTTGTATAGGTTCCAGACCCAAGGGGGTCCCTGATGTCATATTTCTGATTGGTGAAGCTGATTCAGTTATTCCAGGCATGCCCAGCAGGGGGCGAAGGTGAAGCGGTGCCGCACCCTGGGTTCTTAGCAGGGATGGGGGACGATGACTGGCAGAGTGGTTACTCTTCATTTATTATTTAGCATTTGCCGGGCTCTCTTCGCTCTCCTCTGTCATGTTAATTTCTGCTTTTATTTAACGTATTGTCAGAATGCGGCGGCGTCCGGAGCGTGATCGATGTGCGATCGTTTTATAGCTGGGGATGTTTTCGGTTTGGAGGATCCGGAAAGAGACTGGAAGTAGAAGTGAATAGGCTGGTGCAGTGAAGGGGACACAGACTACCGTCTGGGGACACAGACTACCGTCTGGCGGCCTAGTGGACGGCCCGCGGCTCTGGGTCCTTCCTCCCGCACCCTTACTTGACATTTGCATTGCTGTCCATCATTGGTATGCCAGTTTGATGGGCGTCTCCATGGCGACGTGACATTCATACGTGGTAACATGTCAAACGGCATATTCGGTGTGTTTGTGCGCGCGTGTGTGTGTGTGTGTGTGTGTGTGCGTGTGTGTGTGCGGCGGCCAGCCCCATGCCACGGTGTGAAGAGCTGCTGACGCTCCCGGGCTCAACTGGCACGGTTCCCATGGAGACGGGGGCCAAATCTCCTCGCCGTTTAATTCCCTAACGAGCCGACGGGTAAACGAGGGGCATTAACAAGCGAAACCTGGGTGAGGAACCTTGTCCACGAGTCTGGGAGCCGGGAGCAGCGCACAGGCGGCTCCCCCTTCTGGTCTTCTCCAGAAATCACACTAATATCGCCATCGACAACAACAACAATAACGTTTATGGCATCTTCTCAAGCCTCCCCCATCCCCTCTGAGAAGAGGTTTGCAAACACAGGAAGATGAGAAGAGGCCACAAGGAGTTTTTAAATAAATTTTGAACGATTGGGAGGGAAATAAACATAGCAAACTCATATTCCCGTTAATTTGCCTGCCGTCGGCTAGGTGTGAGAAACGTCTTTTTAGGGACAGTAATGGCGAATTATCTCAGGCTCACAACACAAGACCCTCTGGAGGGTGGGGGGTCATAGGGGGGCATGGAGAAGAGAGGCACTCATGCTTGAAATAAATTGAATTCATCTCGGCGACGTTTAAAGCGGCTCAGAGACGGATCCGGGCGAAGATGGCGATCTTGGTCTCTGAAAATGAGCGGACTTGAAAGGGAGTTTTCATCCTATGGCGATTCCTGAAAATAATGGTCAGCGGGAGGGGGGTGGACTCGGTTCCAGGCCCTCTCACCGGCGAGATTAATCTCTGACGAGGGTGCAATTAATCCACAGACAGGGGGCGATGGAGTAGCATTAATGATGCAGGCCCTTTTACCGCGGTATTTCGAAAAAAAAACCCATCGACGGAGCCGTTTCTCAGCCCCCTCCCTCGCGTCCGCCGCACTCGCTCTCGCCGCCTCGCCCGTCCTGTCGCTGCTGTGTGTAAACATCCCCCCTCGCCGGGGGCCCCAACTGCCAAAGCGCGAGGCTGCCCTTCGACCGCCAGTCCCAGCCCGCGCTGACGCTGCCGCCTTCCGGAAGCATCGCTCATTTAGACACCGCTCGTTTGTCACGCGTCCCCCCCCCCCCCCGTTTCCCTCCAGCGTTCCCTGACCCGCCTCGCTGGCCTCCGTCTGTAAGGATGCCGTGTGGATGTTTAATGAATCCATTAAAGGATGAGGAATGTATTTTCTGTGTGGGTAGCAGAATGTGTCCCTGTGTGTACTAAGCAGGCCTACATCGCTATTTCCTCTCATTCTGTCCTCGTCCCCTAACAAATCCCCTCCTTTTTGAGAACCCGTTCTCCCTCCGTTTCGCCACGGAGATTCCGACAGGCCCGGTGCGGTTAGGAACGCGTGACATTCTCCGGCAAACATTCGGGGCCGCGTGGGCGGCCTGTACACCGAGAGCAATCCGACGGGGGTGTGGGATGTAAATAAAGAAACCTCCAGGTGTCACTTTGCGAAGATGGCGGATGCCTGTGATTATCGCGAACACGTCTCGTCCGATGTCATGCATTATCCGAAACGCGGCGAGCGGGGACGTGGGGTCGTAATCGCCGAAGCGCCGGCGGTCTGCGGGATGCCGGATATTCATTCCTCGTTATTTCGGTTATTTTGTCCACCTCTTTATTTACGCCCCCCCCCCAATGCCATGGTGGTGGCCTGACACTGAGGCGTCGTTATGGGGAAGCCACTGTCTGTGGTGGCGGTGGGGGAGAGGTTAGGGCTAGGTGTTCCTGCTTAACGCTGTCGCTTGGTGTGAGTTTAAGACAGTAGTTCAGTTCAATTTAGTTTATTTCTATATAGCGCCTTTCACAACACAAATGTAAGTAGTAAAAGCAGGGTGTAAATTGGTCATAGTCAAGATCCATCAGCAAGCCAGGGGGTCTCTGGCTGTGTGTAAAGCAGGAGATGAAGATCACACACACACACACACACACACACACACACAC